AACTGTTATTGGAGCACAGAGCTAAAAGGGGCGGAACTTCGGAAGGTTGTAAAAATAATTGCATCTGTATTTATATTGAATGTGTTTGTTCTTTTTGAATGTTTAATGAAAGGATACATTTAATATTTCATAATTTGTCTATTCATAAAAAATCCATGAAAAGACCAAAACCAATAATGAATTGATCCCATTAGAGAGTATTGTGAGTGTATCTAGACCTTGATGTATCTTCTTCCTCTGTGTCACACTGTTGCACTGGGTGACATGTTCCTTCATTACCATAAACACACACACTGTAGTTTAATATTGACTCAATCCCACATACACCATCCTACAGAACACCACGTGAATTAATCTGCCGCAGAACAAAGTCTCCAACAAATGCACTTCCTCCTGTTTCATAAAAATCTACAGTGAGCAGCTTTTTTAAACCTGTGTTTAACTATTTACATACTGTTTAGGGTGCCTCGGGCTGAGAGCCACGGCCAAATATTTGAGAGGCAAAATAACATTGTTGGTTTTGGTCTTTTCATGGAATTTGAATACAATAACAAAAAATATAACATTGCCAACTGTATCCTTTAAAGTACTTTTCGTTTGTGCAACTTGAAAAATATAGTTTTTCCAACATGACTTGATGTTTTACATTTTCCCTTTGTTGTCTTTGGTGATTGTGACATTTATGACTCAGCTGTCCTCAAACTGCAGAAATCCAGATATTTATTAAAACACATACAGTACAACCATGTTGATGAAAGGGAAATTAGCCTTGAAACCAACAGTTCAGTGGAACCAATGAGGTCTGTCTTACTAAGAAGTCACAAAGTACACATGACTTTACAGAAATCGCTGTGAACAGGTTTCACTGGATGCTTTCTACTGAAGAAATAGTTCCACTGATCACGGTGAAGTCTGTTTATTAGCCAAAGTAACTGCTTCTGGAAAGAGATGCTGCTGTTGGATATTTAAATGTATTTTTTAAATGCACGAAGCAGCACTAGCAAAATTACATCCACCTCCATTGTATATCTGAGCACATACAACTGAAAATGATTTGCATGGATACCAGGTAACAAGTAAAAAAATCTATGTGTTTTGAATAGAGTTTACTCTTGACGTTAGAAACAGCAGTTTGGAAAACATTCATACCTCAAGGTCTGTTTAGTAGCTGCTCTGGATTTCATTACCTTCTTTTTTTTTCTAAGGACTAAATTAATTCCTTGGGACTTTTAAGGGAAGCGCTTAACTTGTTTTTGAACATCTACTATTCAGTGACAACTGAACAAACGTCCTCTGCTAAGGAAGACCATGACAGCAACTAATTGGACCTTCATGAAAATTTTGATGAAATTGTTTTCTTTGTTTCTTTTGTAAATTGGGTGACGCTTTTTATGTAATATCCTGTTGTGAACAGTCACACGTGAAAATGTGGATTGTGGCAAACTAACAAGTGCAACACCTACAGGTTGTTACATTTGAAATATAAACTAAATATTAGCATACAATGTGAAAACAGTGCTTAAATATGAAAAGCAACTTGTTTCTCAAAAGCACTAATGCTTTGAAATCATATTTAAGATTTCACTTGTGTCTTTTTTGTGAAGAGATTCTGGGGGTCATAAAAGATTAAAGTACCTATCTCAGGCTACAGTGAAACTTCCAGTTAGGAGCCACAATAGCGCCCCCAAGAGGTTTAATGTTCAGTAAACACCAGAAAATAATAAATAATAATAATAAAACAGTTTTTTTGCCTTAGGGTTACAGCATTTTACTTTAGCTTTCTTCTGTGGTATACTTACCTAGTGTGCAGGACAATGTCAGTTCTTTCTTTATTATACTGGTTAATAATGTAGCCCTTATAAACTTCTATGATCACAATTAGAGCAACACCTGTATCAGCTATTGTTCTTGATAGTCATGAAAAAACAAAAAAACAATAACAACAATACAATTGCAACAGTGCTTTGGAAAATGAGGGTGTATCTTTATTTTGAAATAACTCAGAAAAATATCTACAATCTGTATTATAATAATAAGGTATCAACATAATATATAAAATAAAAAGCTTTTTTGTTTTTCATGCTTTTATTTGTGTGGCAGTGTGTTTCTCATATTATACAACAAGGAGGAATCCTAGATGAAATACTCAAAGCACTTGTTCCTCTCATCGTCCAGTTCTTGGGTCTCAATCTCAAACTTTTTCATGGCAATGAAATACTGAACAAATGGCTCTCCGAGGGCGCTGCGGATGACGTGATTCTCCCCCAGTACCTCCAGAGCTTCGTCGAGCTTCACAGGAATGGGGAACTCCCTCTGTTGACTGGGGGCTTTGTTGAGACTGCTGTCGATGTTCAGGTTTCGTCTGATGCCGTCCAGTCCTGCGGCCACAGTAGCAGCCAGCACAATGTAAGGGTTGGCCATGGCTGAGCCCAGCTTGTTGTCAATGTGCGTCTCCCTGCCTCCGTGACACTTAATGTTGAAGGAGCTGCTGTTATCATTGCAGCCGTAGGTGGCACAAAGGATTTGTTTGGGGTCTTTGATCGTCTTGGCAATGTGGCTCCGGCAGCCCAGGCCCGGCGACATCAGGCAGCTCAGGGCAGCAGAGTGGGTGAGAAGCCCGGCTAGCCATTTCCTGCCAATCTCTGACAGCTCGCCTGCCTTCTCCCCGCTGTGGAAGAGGCTACGTCGCCCATTAGCATCCCACAAACTATGAGAGAGCACCCCAGCATTGTAGAGGCCATCGTCGGTGAAGAAGCTGGCAATGTAGCCGTGTTTACGAGCCATCTCTTTGATGCCGGTGCGGAAGGTGAAGGCGCTATCTGCAGCTGAAATCCCAAACTCTGGCCTCAGGTTAATCTCCATCTGGCCGGGGCCGCTTGCAGAAGCGATGCTGTCTACGTCTGCGCCCATGCAATACATGCTGTCCACCAGCTGCTGGAAGAAAGGCAGGTCGTGGTTGCTGAGCAGGGTGGTGGCTGGGAACATGAGTGTCTTTGGTCCGATCCGGTCGGGCGCTCCGAGGACGCAGCATTCATAAGTGAAGGATGAGTGCAGGGAGAATCCCAAGCTTTGGAGCTGGCCAAGGAGCTGCTTGGCGATCAGGCGAGGTGAAGTGCGAAGGGGGCTTCCTGTCACCGTGCAGGGGTCGCAGATGACCCGGGCTGTCTGCTCAGCCCAGGGTAAGACCCTGAAGGTGGAAAGATCCGGGATCAGAAGAACATCACTGCTGAAGTTGGCAGTGTTGGCGTGGTCTACTTCATTGCTCTTAGGGCTCAGGGTCAGTTCCAAGTAGCTTCTCGGCATCGGCACCCCATATACTGCTTTCTCCTGTGGATGCAGAAAAAACAATCCTGGGTCTGTCCAAAGTTCAAAAACACCTACCAATACCTCTCAACCTCTTACATAATATTTGTTTATTTTTTAGACAAACAGTATATAAAAATGGCAATTTGTGGTTTACACATTTAAACCATGTGCCCAGTCATAGATAGATAGATAGATTACATGGAAGAAGCGAACAGGCACTGTCTTGGACCGGGACACCCCGTGGAGGTCGGTGGCATCGAAGCGGACGAAGTTGACGTTTTCTCTGGCGATCTGCTGTTTGATCTGCTCCATGGCTGAAATGAAACTCTGGTTTCCAAAGATCTCGATAATGTCGCTTCCGTTATCTGTGAAAAACAGTTGGACATCCATCGGAGAGTATGATTTGAAATGCTACAACAAATGTTTTGGCCTTAGTATTTCTAAAACTCAAAGCTCCAGTGGCGTCAAGACCACTTTAGTCAAATCCCAAACCAGTTCTCTTTGATTTTAAGTCAAAAATAAGTAAAACTGCACCAACAAAACTGGCCAACTGATATTAGCTTATTGTAG